AGAGACAAGTCAGATCATGCTGGGTGTGGGACATTGCTCCACAACCAGGGGCTGGTCAAGCTCAAATTGATGGTTTTGAGGTTCAAGTTTCAGTGACTGATTTCTTAACTGATTTCCATAGATCCCTTCCGTAGTTTTATACCTGATTTTACAGGAATTATTTATTGTATAAAATGATGCATCAGGTTGAATAATGGAGGTCATGGCAACTTGTAAGTCTTTGTGGTTTAACTCCTGGCTTCAGCAGTCCCGTGACCATCAAAGTCATAGGTTTGGGTGCCCTTTCTTTAATGTATGTGTTGATCACGAAGAATGGCATTGAGACTCCTGTAGACTAAGGAATCTTGGGCGCCTTGGGGAGGGTAAGTCACCCCCTTTACATTTTTTACATATTTTACAGAAGTTAGGCATGGAGAATTGGAAGCCCTGCTTTTCTGATGAGGGATGAAATGGCATTGATGCAAGAAGAGGATAGCAAGGCCATAGCGAAGCCTCAGTGTAATGATCTGCTGGATTCTATTATACTGATAACCTAGAAAACCACTTATGAAATAGCCCATCTTGTCAAGTGTCCTTGATTTTCAGGGACATTTCTCATTTTGTGTCAAGCATTCCCTTTGTCCCAGCTCCATCTGGCATCCATGGCCTTGGGATTTACATGGCAGCAGATAATTGAAAGTAGCATTTGTGTGCTGGTTTCTAAACCCCCCCCTTACCCGAGCCTCTTAAATGGATAGAGCTCATAACCATGGTGCCTCATGTTCCAGCTTCACCTCCCAGTATTTTCTCCTCCGGTTTTGCTTTCTGTCCTTTGGCATCTTTGAGGATTCATCAAGGGAATTTCTGAAACTGCAAAACTTTGCCAAAACGCTTTGTGTTTCCCTAAAGAGTTCAAAAACCAGACTCTCAGGTTGAGATATATATTTTTGCTGTGTGTATTTTGAGTTTCAGGTACAAAATTTGGAACTGCAGGCATCTTTCTGTATTTTACACCACCATTAAGGCACATGTTGCAGTAAAAGCACTGTTTAAAGAAAAATAAATTAGTGTTTTGATGTCTGTTTTTAAAGAGAAACTTGCAGAACATGATGCTCCCTCCTATTTCATATTGTAAGGTGCCAGGTGAATTAGTCAAAAGAAAGTGATCATGAAGATGTTTGATGATGAAAGGCAGTATTTTTATTTTTGTGATGGGCAAGCCAAGGAACAACCTTTATGTTTGCA